TGTGTGTGTGTGTGTGTGTGTGTGTGTGTGTGTGTGTGTGTGTGTGTGACAGAGATTAATGTCAGGTGACTTCTCCTATTTCTCTCCAACATATTCAGGATCTCTCACTGAACACAGAACTCACCGATTCTGCTTGACTGACTGACCTGCAAGCCTCAAGGTCCTCCAGTCTCCACCTTCCCAGGGCTAGGATTACAGGCATCACCATGATATATACTGGTGCTAAAGATCTGAACTCAGGTCCTCCTCATGCTTGCCTGCAAAGCAAGCACATTACCGACAGAGCTGTCTCTTATAGACACCATGGTCTCACTAAGTCTTAAACATCTCCACACTGTGGCCCAGACCTCCAACACAGCACCCTCTCACGTGCCTGGGATGTTCTAGAGAGACACGAAGCTCTGGACCAGAGTGCACAGAGAGCTACCCTAGTCACTAACCACTTCTTTGTCTTCCTTCCTCTTCTACTGTGATGGCCAAAGTCCAACACAACGATCCTCAAACTGGAGCTGGAAGACAACTCCATCATGGAGGAGGGCGTCTTGAGTCTGATGGAGATGCTTCACGAGAATTACTACCTCCAGGAGCTGGTAGGACGTCCCCTCCTCCTCCAACTCCTCCTAGCATACCCAGGGACTCAGAACCACTCAAGCCCGGTTAGAACCTCCCACCCCAGGCCTAGGTCAGCTTTGGGCTATCTCTAGGCAGTCTGGGGCTCCTCTCCAGATACAACTTCTCAGAAGAGGGCCAGGTATCAAAGGTGGCTGTGGGAAAACCTGAAGAGCCATCTCTGGCTGTGCGTTTACAAGTCCCCAGATGGAATGGTTTACCCATTCTAACTAACATAAACAAGCTTTCTTCTTTGCAAAGCAGAGACCTGATGAGGTGGCTCATTTTCAAATCCTCCAAATGAATCTGTCTTAAGTGTTAAAGCAAACAATCTGTATGCTTATCTGAAGTACCAAGACTAAATTGAGGTAGTGGGGTATTGTTGAAGACAACGAATGAGACCCTGTGAGAGACGCTAGAGAAATCAGACTAGGACCAAGCTTCCTTGCCTCCCATCTCTGTCCTCCACATTACTCTGATCCTAAACATTTTACCCCACCTTATTCTCTCAGTCATCCCGATCAGCCCCGCCCCCACCTTGTTTCCGAGGGCCTTCTTGTGCGATCCTCTCCCACGTGTGTGTGTGTGTGTGTGTGCTCTTACCTCTCAGAACATGTCTGACAATGACCTTGGTTTGGAGGGAGCCAGGATCATCTCAGACTTCCTCCAGGAAAACAATTCTTCACTCTGGAAACTGAAACTTTCAGGTGAGCCCATAGCAGGGGAGGAAAGGACACTTGCAACAGAAGGAGAGAAGAACGGAGGACCCTGGGTCCTAGGTTTTGGTCCCAAAACATCACGCTGCATCATCCCCTCGCTGGACCAGGCAGCCTTGCCCCTCGAGGGCCACGCCGACCTCCTCCTTCCCTGAACAGGCTCTCTTTGCAGCCCCTTTCCCTTGTCTTGGACATCTCCACCTCCTGGGGTCTGCCTGGCTCTCTCGTGCCATGCATGCCTTCACGCTCATGCCATCTTTTAAAGGGACTTCTCTGACGCCTGTCACGACAGCAATGCTCTACCGCCATCACTCTGTCCTGTTTCTCCAGTTGTCTTAATGTTCGTTAACCGCTTGATTATTGCAGGTCCACTTTGAAATGAGTGATGCTCTACCTGTTATGAGGGGAACAGGGCCACTTGAAAGCTCTAGTGCCCAGACGTGCCCTCACTTGGGTTTGCAGATTTCTGCTACCTGAGGGACTCTGGAACTTCTATGCCAAGAAATGAATATGAAGAGCGGTCCTATGCTGAAAAGTAGGACCTCTTTGGAGGACTCGTATTTACCCAGTTGGTTTGGGATTTCCAGAGATAAGCCCCAGTCCACGTGATCTAAAACTGCAAAACTAACAAGGAACAAATTTTAAAAGCGGACACTCACGGTGGGTAAAGTGCCTGCTGAGAAAACCGAAGGCCTGAGTTCAGACCCCCAGCGCCCGTGTGAAAGCGAGGTACAAGCAGTGTACCCCTGTAGCTGCAGAGCTAGAAGGGGAGGACAAGAAATGAGCAGACCCGGGGGCTCTCTCCAGCCAGCCTAGCCAAAATGGCAAACTCTAAGGCTCTGTGAGAGATGCTGACCCAAAAATCAGGGACCGAGTGATAGAGAAAGGCATCCAACCTCTGACCTTCACACACACACACACACACACACACACACACACACACACACATAATCACATACACACAAAATAGCAAAATTTAAAAAAGAAATCCACACCTGAATTTGTCTATGTAAAAAATTCTTTGAGATACAAAGAAGTGTCTTAAAACATCCATATCCTGCTGGGCGGTGGTGGCGCATGCCTTTAATCCCAGCACTCGGGAGGCAGAGGCAGGTGGATCTCTATGAGTTCGAGGCCAGCCTGGTCTACAGAATGAGTTTGAGGACAGTCAGGGCTGTTACTCAGAAAAACCCTGTTTCAAAAAATAAAATTTAAAAAAAAAACAGAGCAAAACAAAAATCCATATCTTAAAAGTATCCAGGAAAAATGCAATGCTTATTTTTAATCCAAATTTATCATACATAGGTCATTCCTCTTCAGTTTCCCTTGTCTCCCTCTAGCGGTTTCCCGGGTGACAGGACAAGAAGATGTATCTCCTCTGAATAGTACTCCATGTTGTGGGAAGACAGCATGCTTTATTAACATCCGCGTACTGAAGGAACAGTTTTCAACTTCTCCATTAAGGTTTCAAAGGACTATCTTGCATGCACATCCTTTGGGCTCATGGTCCAGTCTATGTAGACGGGCACCCTAGGGTGTAGTGAGTGGCTAGATCCACCTTTGTGAAATTCAAATTCAACTTCTGCATGTTCTCTTAGAAAGCCTAGAGCAGGCTACAGGTCTACCAATTTGTCTCCCTACTCTACTATAGTAGGCCGTTAACCAAATCTGTGAATCAAAGGGTTGAGTGTGAAGCCACAGAGCAGGGATCTGAATTCCAGTTTTGACACCTGCCCACGCTTCTGCTCAGTTCAGCTCCATTATTCGGCTTAGACAGTGATCCCCAAAACAAATGAATGGGAATCTAAAGTGCCTAGTGCACCAGGCTGGGGCACGCAAATGCACCCATCCCCAGCAGTTCACACTCCGTTGAGATACAGCGTCTTTTCAGACGTTTGTCACTTTGGTTTCTCTTCTATGAAACGTCAGCTGCTAGAGGAGGGTTTTTTTGGTGGGGGGGGGGGCGGGGGGGGCATTTCAAGACAAGTTTTCTCTGTACTGGAACTTGCTCCGTAGACCAGGCTAGCCTCGAACTCACAGAGATCCGCCTGCCTCTGTTTCCCAAGTACTGGAATTAAAGGCGTGCGCCACCACATCTGGCTAGATGTTTCTATATGATCGTTAGGCCTTCTTTGCTTTTATGTTTTAAACTTTTATTTGTATGTGAGGTGTTTTACCTATGCACCTATGTTTGTGCACCATATGTGTACCAGGTGCCCATGGAAGCCAGAAGAAGGCGTTGGATCCCCTGGAACTAGAGTTAGGGATGGCTGTGAGCTGCCACGCGGCGAAATGAACCAGGGTCCTCTGGGAGAACAGTCAGTGCTCTTAACAGCTGAGCCATCTCTCCAGTACGAATGTTAGGCATCCCTAATACACTAAGGATGTTCATATCTGATGTCAGAGAGGAGGAAGGAAATGGTCAGCAGTCTCCCCCATTCCTTGTGTCCACCTGTTTGCTTTAAGAGCTTCATGAGAGGGAGGAGCCAGGGGCGGTAACTGTTCCATCAAAGGGCCTGACAGGCGTGGGAGGGCAAGGGAGCGCAGATGGTCTGGTCTGCATTGCTAACAGCGCACCCTCGCTAACTGCAGGAAACAACTTCAAGGAGGAATCTGCTGCGCTTTTATGCCAAGCCCTGTCGGTAAGGAGCATGTGAGAATGTCCCTTGGGAATTCTGGGTGATCTGGGGGGACACTGGACAAAGCCGCTTGCTTGGTTTGGGAAACTAATATGTGTTTGTTCCCTGCAAAAGCTTCAACAAGTCGTAGGGCTTTCTGGGTAGGAATAATTCCCCAAGAAACCATTGGTAGTTAGTTTTTTTTTTTAATCTCTATTTTTAGACCAAAATGTGTCTTTATTTTTATTTTGTTTATTTTATTTATCTTTTAAAAAATTTTTTGTTTATTTACTGTGTATACAGTGTTCTGCCTGAAGAGGACACCAGATCTCATACAGATGGTTGTGAGCCACCATGTGGTTGCTGGGAATTGAACTCAGGACCTCTGGAAGAGCAGCCAGTGCTCTTGACCGCTGAGCTTCTCTCTAGCATGATAGTTAAGTTTTTTGGGATTTTTTTTAATTGTATAGGAAATCATTTGCTTAAGAACACTAGCCCACCCAGTTTCAGGAACCTAGGAGCCCTCATCCTTCCGCCTCAAGGTTGGCTAAAGAGATGCCATCAAAGAAATCCCAGAACTCAGGAGACTGAGGGAGAAGGAAGGAGAGTTCAAGGCCAGCCTGTACTAACTCTGCAATAATATCCTGTCCCGCGATAACTAAGTGGAAGACAACTAACCTCTCTGCGATTTGTTCCTTTAGTCCAATTACCGAATTAGGTCACTGAACCTCAGCCACAACCAGTTCTCTGACGTAGGAGGGGAGCATCTGGGACAGATGCTAGGTATGTCCCCATGGAGGGAAGGGTTGGTGAGGAGACTTCCAGCTCTTCCTGTATGCGTATGGGTGTTTTGCCTGAATGTATGTGCACATACTGTGAGTGTGTCCGATGCCTGTGGAGGCCACATGGGGCATTAGCACTGGACTGCCCGGAACTGGAGTTCCAGACAGTTGTGAACCACCATATGGGCACTGGGAATCGAATCCAAGATTCAAGATGCAAGAGCATCCAGTACTCTTAACCACTGAGGCATCTCTCCATTCCCATTCCCTTTCTTATTGACTTAGCCATGACTGTTTCCTTTGTGGGGTTTGTTTTGTGGGTTCCTCTTTTGATTTGTTTTTTTAATGCTGCTGCTGCGTTTTTGTTCTTCAGCATATTGGTTGTGTTTGTTGGTTTGTTTGCTTGCTTTAAGCAGAATCTCACTGTTACTGAATCCCAGACTGGCCTTGAACTTGAGGTCCTTCTGCTTCCTCCTCCCAAATGTTTGGATCATAGGTGTGTGTGTGTCCTGAGTGTTCCCATTACACAAGCGGTGTAAATCATGCTCGGAATAACAGAGCAAAGCCAACATCTGGGTGTGAGAGGCAAAACTGGTCACTGAGAGTGAGCTGGTTTAGAGAAGCAGCTTGCGTGAGGACTGGAATGACGGCTCTGCAGGTCAGGCTGCTTGCTGCTCTCGCGGAAGACCAGAGTTCTGTTCCCAGCACCTTGGGCAGTCACACACACAGCATACACTCACACATACACATGGATAAAAACAGAATGAAGCTCAGAGCTGGCGAGACGGCTCAGCAGTTAAGAGCACTTGTTGCTCTTGCAGAGGCCCACAGCTGAATTCCCAGCACCCACATGATGATTAACAACTACCTCTAACTCCACTTCTGGGGAATCTGATGCCTTCTTCTGACCTCCACGGGCACCAAACATGCATGTGGCACACATACATACATGCAGGCAAAACATTCACATGAAAACAAAACTGAGTAAGTCTAAATAAAAAGTTTAAAAATTATATCCATAAAAAAAGCCAGACTAAATAAATCTCCTTTTTAAAAGCTACTGGCTGGGGCTGGAGAGATGGCTCAGAGGTTAAGAGCACTGATTGTTCTTCCAGAGGTCCTGAGTTCAATTCCCAGCAACCACATGGTGGCTCACAACCATCTGTAATGAAATCTGGTGCCCTCTTCTGGTCTGCAGGCATACATGCAGACAGAACACTGTAAACAAAATAAATAAATAAATAAATAAAACTTAAAAAAAAAAAAAGCTACTGGCTAGTAACATAAACCTCACCTGAAAGAATTCACATATTTTAGAAAAATTTATTGAAAACATATACATGATGAAAGATGACAAAAATGATCTTCTGGTAATATTTTTTATTTTGATTTTTTACCTTTAATTTTCTTTATTTTATTTTTTTACATTTTTTATTAATATTTATTGAGCTCTACATTTTTCTCTGCTTCCCTCCCTGCCTCTTCCCTTCCCCTTTCAATCCTCCCCCAAGGTCTCCAAGCTTCCAATTTACTCAGGAGAGCTTGTCTTTTTCTACTTTCTACTTCCCATGTAGATTAGATCTATGTAAGTCTCTCTTAGTGTCCTCATTGTTGTCTAAGTTCTCTGGGATTGTGGTTTGTAGGCTGGCTTTCTTTGCTTTATGTTTAAAAACCACCTATGAGTGAGTACATGTGATAATTGTCTTTCTGTGTTTGGGTTACCCCACTCAAAATAATGTTTTCTAGCTCCATCCATTTTCCTGCAAAATTCAAGCTGCTGTTATTTTTTTCTGCTGTGTAGTACTCCATTGTGTAAATGTACCACATTTTCCTTATCCATTCTTCGGTTGAGGGGCATTTAGGTTGTTTCCAGGTTCTGGGTATGACAAACAAAGCTGCCATGAACATAGTTGAGCACATGCCCTTGTGGCACAATTGAGCATCCTTTGGATATATACCCAAAAGTGGTATTACTGGGTCTTGAGGAAGGTTGTTTCCTAATTTTCTGAGAAATCGCCACACTGACATTCGAGGGGGTTGTACAAGCTTGCATTCCCACCAGCAATGCAGGAGTGTTCCCTTTTCCCCACAACCTCTCCAGCATAAGTTGTCATCAGTGTTTTTGATTTTGGCCATTCTTACAGGTGTAGGATGGAATCTCAGAGTTGTTTTGATTTGCATTTCTCTGATGACTAAGGATGTTGAACATTTCCTTAAGTGTCTTTCAGCCATTTTAGATTCCTCTGTTGAGAGTTCTCTGTTTAGGTCTGTACTCCGTTTTTGTTTTGTTTTGTTTTTTTATTGGATTATGTGATCTTTTGGTGTCCAATTTCTTGAGTTCTTTGTATATTTTGGAGATCAGACCTCTGTCTGATGTAGGGTTAGTGAAGATCTTTTTCCATTCTGTAGGCTGTTGTTTTGTCTTGTTGACCATGTCCTTTGCTTTACAGAAGCTTTTCGGTTTCAGGAGGTCCCATTTATTAATTGTTTCTCTCAGTGTCTGTGCTGCTGGGGTTATATTTAGGAAGTGGTTCCCTGTTCCAATGCGTTCAAGTGTACTTCCCACTTTCTTTTCTATAAGGTTCAGTGTGGCTGGCTTTATGTTGAGGTCTTTAATCCATTTGGACTTGAGTTTTGTGCATGGTGATAGATATGGGTCTGTTTTCATTCTTCTACATGTTGATATCCAGTTATGCCAGCACCACTTGTTAAATGTGCTTTCTTTTTTCTCTTTGATATTTTTGCTTCTTTATCAAAGATCAGGTGTTCAAAGATGTGTGGATTGATATCCAGGTCTTCTATTCGGTTCCATTGGTCCTCCTGTCTGTTCTTATGCCAATACCAGGCTGTTTTCAGTACTGTAGCTCTGTAGTAGAGTTTGAAGTCAGGGATTGTGATGTCTCCAGAAATTCTTTTATTGTACAAGATTGTTTGGGCTATCCTGAGTTTTGTTTTTTTGTTGTTGTTGTTTTGTTTTGTTTTGTTTGCTTTTCCATATGAAGTTGAGTGCAGTTCTTTCGAGGTCTTTGAAGAATTTTGCTGGGATTTTGATGGACATTGTGTTGAATCTGTCCAGTTTTTTTTTTAAGTCTTGTTTTGGTCCAGTATTTCCTCACTATGCTCCTTTCCCTACCTTTCAAGACGGTAATGTATATCCTGTGCCACTGTGTCTTGGAAGTATGTGATCTGCATTTTGATTTTGATTTTACCATTAAGTGATTGCATGAAACTCAGAAGAGACTTTGAACTTTCGCCTTTTAAGCAGGATTGAGACTGGTATAGACTATGAGGATTTCGAAGTTGTACTGAAAGCATTTCCATACTATGTTATGGTTACAAACCTATGGGGGCCGGGAGTGGAGTGTGCTGGTTTGAATAGGAATGGCCTCCACAGACTCATGGATTAGAATGCTTGGCCCATAGGGAGTGGCACTATTAAGAGATGTGGCCTTGGTGGAGGAAATGTGTCACTGTGGGAGCAGGCTTTGAGGTGTCATATGCTGAAGATATACCCAGTATGCTTCACAGTCTCCTTTTGTTACCTGTTAATCAAGATGTAGAACCTCTTCAGCACTGAATCTGCCTGCACGCCACCATGTTTCCCACCATGACAATAATGGACTAAACCTCTGAACTGTAAGTCAGCCTCAATGAAATGTTTTCCCTTATAAGAATTAAAAAAAAAAAGATACACAACACTGTATTTGTGTCATTAGGGTAAACATCTATAATGGAGCCTTTCCACTTCTGGGCTATGTTCTTAGGTGGTGTCTCAGCATATACACCTCTTCATGGGAGAATATTTGCGGTCACATACTTACCAGGTAGATTGTGCCACTTGTCGGGGCCAGCCAACCTGTCAAACAGTGCCTGAATGGGGAGTCAGGATTAGGAAAAAAAGAGACAAAAGACAGAGATAGAATCGAGAAGGCTCTCCGTGAATACTGCAGAAGTCTCGCTTTCATTTCTTGTAGCCTTTTTACACCCAAAGCAAAAGGGGCAGGCAAAAGACTTCCTTACCAAGACTGAAGGAACAGACAAGCATAATCACCTCCTTAATTCTCAAAACATCTAGTTGAGGAGCAAGACATTCGAGACGCCGCCTTTGACCAAACATCCTGTTAATTGACCTTGAGGAACAAGAACAAGCTTGAACTCTCTGACCTTAAGTCAAGATGGAATAGAGTCACTGTGGGCTCCCATACTGCCACTGAAGATTGTCCCCTCTTTAATAGAAAAGTGGGACTGTTTTAAATAATCTTTCCAAGGATTAAGGGTCATTTTTCAACCTGTGTCTAAGTAACTAGCTGAAAATTATCATCTGGCCAGATATGATGGCACACAAATTTAATCCCAGCATTTGGGAGGCATAGATGGATCTCTGTGCATTCCAGGCCAGCCAGGGCTACATAGTGAGACTCTGTCTTTAAATTTTTTTAAAAAGGGAGGAGAGGTCTCTGGAGAGATGGCTCAGTGGTTAAGAGTGCTGGCCTGCTCTTCCAGAGGACCCGGATTCAATTCCCAGCACACGCATTGCAGATATAACTGTCTGTAATTTCAGTTCCAGGGGACCTGACACCCATGGCAAAACATCAATGCACATAAGATTTTCAAAACGTTTTTTAAATTAAAAAAGTTGTCACCTGAGTGTCGTAGCTTGGGTCTGCGGCTGGGTCTCCAGGACGTGGGATATGCTGACCTGAGACCCTGTCCTTCCCTCCCTCCCCCCAGCCCTCAATGTCGGGCTCCAGTCGCTGAACCTAAGCTGGAATCACTTCCACATTCGGGCAGCTGTGGCCCTGTGTAACGGTCTCCGGGTAAGTCACATTCTGAGAGGTGAGTTGAACTGCTTCCTCGCGGTCACTGTGGACTTGGGTGTTCAGAGCTCTCACCAAGTGTCTTTGGAGCTGCTGGGTTTCCTTCTGTGACTCCCTGTGTGCGCTTCTGTTGTATAAATCCTCTCTACTGAGGCCTGAGCACCATCGTTAGAGGTGCTTCAGCTTGAGGGCAGAGAGACGAGAATCTCAAAAGGGATGAATCTCTCAAGAGGTCTTGAGAATGAACCCCATCTGGAGGCAGCAGAATAATTGTGTAGATCTGTCTCTACAGAAAACCACTGAGCTGGGATGGGGGAGGGGGGGGACGGGACAATGGCCTTAGGATGGGACGGGATGGGTTAAGAGTCGCAGGGGGTGAGAGTGAGGATGGAATGTGTCAGGGGTGAAGGGAAGGGTTGGGGTTTAGATGAGGGTGAGGGTGAGAATTGGGGCTGGGCTGGCAGTCAAGACATCTTCCTGGGTAAGCCTCACTCCACCCTGATGCTAGTGCTGTTCCCCTCCCCTGGAGTCTAACGTGACCCTGAAGAAACTGGACGTGTCCATGAATGGCTTTGGGAATGAAGGCGCTCTGGCCCTGGGGGATGTCCTCAGACTCAACAGCTGCCTGGTCTACATAGACATCAGCAGAAACGGCATCACCAATGAGGGAGCCTCCAGAATCAGCAAGGGACTAGAAGTCAACGAGAGCCTCCAAGTGCTGAAGGTAGACGGGCTGAACTGGTGTCTTCATATGCACCTCTGTGTCTGGATGCCATGCACGTCTGCCTATGTGTCCGTGAGCGTGTGTCCGTGAATGTGTGCATGTGTGTGCATATGTATGTATGTATGTGATTCATCTATGGGAAAGCAGAGCAATAGAACTAGACTGGATAATGCTGGGGACAATCCTCAGCCCTTGCCACGTATTTCCATGTGCACATGTTTGGTGCCCTTGCTGTAGACCCAGGGCTGCCTTGGCTCTCTGGTGACGTGTGTGCCTCTATACAAGTCTTCCCTCATGCCATCTGAGTCTCTCTTGGGATTTTCTTCATACTAAGGCCATATTATGCTTTGGGGGTACTAAACCCAGTGGTTGCTTGCATTCCAGTCTGGTCCTCTGATCCCATGAGCCTCTGCAGCCTCAGCTCACCCCTGCTCTCCGTGGCTCTCCCTGCAGCCTCAGCTCACCCCTGCTCTCCGTGGCTCTTCCTGCAGCCTCAGCTCACCCCTGCTCTCCATGGCTCTTCCTGCAGCCTCAGCTCACCCCTGCTCTCCGTGACTCTCCCTGCAGCCTCAGCTCACCCCTGCTCTCTGTGGTTCCCTCTACAGCCTCAACTCACCCCTGCTTTCCGTGGCTCTCTCTACAGCCTCAGCTCACCCCTGCTCTCCATGTCTCTCCCTGCAGCCTCACTCACCCCTGCTCTCCGTGACTCTCCCTGCAGCCTCAGTTTAGCCCTGCTCTCTGTGGCTCTTCCTGCAGCCTCAGCTCACCCCTGCTCTCCATGGCTCTTCCTGCAGCCTCAGCTCACCCCTGCTCTCTGTGGCTCTTCTTGCAGCCTCAGCTCACCCCTGCTCTCCATGACTTTCCCTGGCTCCTCCTCTCATTAGTAGCACTGCCTATGCCCACACTAGCTCTCATGTCTATCTGCTACAGAGCATGACACACAAAAGTCTATATCAGCCTGCGTCCTCCTGAGTTAGGGGACTGCGGCCAGCACTCTGCTCTCCCCTCCCTGAAGAGGTTTATTCTATGATTCCTACCTATACTCTCATGTGAATGTGAAATCTCCGTAAGGACAAGAATGTTATTTTGACCCTGATCATACCCTTTACACTGCATGGTGCTGGACACACCGTGAAAACGTAGAAGTAAATGGATAGATGAATTAATATTACTTGTAAATTAGTTTACTTGTGGAGACTAATTATGACACGGGCCATTGAATAGTTTGGAAACAGATGCAAGAGGACATTTGTTCCAAGATCTTCTCTCTGGGCTCTTTCGAGCCACACCCTGAATATGATGATGCAGTAATTCAACAGCCATTGCCCAGTGTGACCAGGTATCTCTGCCAGCTCCATTTTCCAGATGGGAAAACAGAGACTAAGTGTCACTCATTCCGACCACATAACTCTAAAGAGGGTGGCCACTTGTATCTGGCTTCCTAAGGCCATTCTAACTCCCTGCAAGAGGTTAGTAGAGTCGCGGTGGGTGTTGGAATCTTTACTGATGGAGGGGGATGGGCATGAGAAAACTGAGGATGAACCTGCTGCCTGAGGTACCACTAAACGGACAAAAAGCCAGATTCTGGCAGAGGGAGTGAGACAATGGCTGATAGAACTAGCCTGGACATTGAGGGGGAAAACAGGAAGCCCCACCTGCGGCAGAATGGGACCATTTCGAGAGCTGGCCAGGCAGTGAGCAACTCAGCCTCAAGGTCCTGTGGAACCAGGGATTGCCGAAAAAAGCTAAACCTTTCTAAAGGTTCTGTTGACTAAGACATCAGGCTGGTGAGATGCCAGGCCTACTGACCTGAGTTCAATCCCCAGAACCACATGTTGGAAAGACAAAAACTACTGAGAATTGTCCTCTGACCCCCCACTTGCACTCGTATACACACACACACACACACACACACACACACACACACATACATATAGCTTTAAAACATATCTCTTGTTTTTTTTTAAGACTAAGAGGCTACATCACAGAAGGAATCTGGTCGCCTCTGTTGTAATTAAGTGGTCCAAAAACGTGTTTTCAGCTCCTAATCTTCCACAATGGTCATGTGTAACAAATGAATTTTAAATCTAAAAGAAGCTTCAAGTGGGGCTGGAGAGATGGCTCAGCAGTTAAGAGCATTGGCTGCTCTAGCAGAGGACCTGGGTTCGATTCCCAGCACCCATGTCGGGTGGCTCACAACCACCTGTAACTCCAACTCCAGGGAATCTGGAGCATGCATGCCACATGCATGTGCGCACACGCATGTGCGCACACACACACACACACACACACACACACACACACACCATTTTTAATGTTTTAAATAAAAGAAAAAATAGGAAAGGAATTTCCCAAAGAAGTACCTACTGTTCTCCGCATCTATCCCCTTTTAGCCCCCAGTCTTGGGAAACTAGAAATTTCCTTGGGGAATGAGTCCCACAAAGTTCACTTGCCAAGATACATAAGCACTGGGTTTTTCTCACCAGAGAACATCAGAGCCTGGGAAATTGGCACACAGCAAATGTTCAATAAAACCCCTGGCCTCCCTCCTAATGCAACTACCTGAAGTGGCCTTCCATAGCAATGGCCACCATTCATACACTGTGTGATGTTCACTGGGCACCTTTTGGATGCTTTGATTGGATTATTAGGTTGGGACCCTTGGGACAGCTCCTCCGTGGAGCCAGGTACAAAGAAGCCAGGAAGTGAAACCCAAGGCCAGCTGCCTACATGCTCCCTCTTGCTAATCTCCATCCATGCTTCAGCGGCTCTCAACATCCTTGCAATACTAACCGAAACACACAAGGTCCACCATGCCATGGCCCTTCCTGCTTTTGTTGCCTCCTTCTCCTCTCTGTTCCTGCTCACAGAACATGGCGCTATTGTCCCGCACCACAGTGTGCTGTGCCCTCCAGCTCACCTCCACCCTTGCCTGCTCTTCCTTCATGAATCTTTCCCCACTCTGCTCCTGCCCCCCCCTTCAGATATGACTAATTCCCCATATCCCAGCAAGGCTTTACTCAAGGGTCTCCTACCCACAATGAACTTTGTTCCTACAGTATGTCCCTCTGTCGCTGCTACCACCATATATCTGATACCATTTACTTACTTTACTGTCTCCGTCAACTAGAGTTGTGTTATCTGGAGACAGAGCCCTTGTCAAGGCAACCTGGGCTTAGCAGGCCTCGATAAATATTTGTTGGAGGATGGATGTGTTGGATGAGTGGAAGGAGAAGTGGATTGATGCGTAAGTTTTTGGATGGATGGGTAGTAAGATAAGATGGATGGATGGATGCGTGCATGCATGGGTGCATGGATGATGCATGGATGGGTGCATGCATGCATGCATGAATAGGTGCATGGATGGATGTGTGCATGGATGATGCATAGATGGATGCATGCATACATGGATGGATGGATGGATGGATGATAAGAGAAACTGATGAGTATGTGAGTAGATGAATGGATAGATAGTGAGATAGATTAATTAGCGGATGTATAAGTAGATGGATGGAAGGGAAGGTGAATTGATGAGCAGATGGATGGGTGGGTGATAGATAAACAAAGGGATGGACTTATGGCTCATGGGTGGGTAGAATAAAAGAACAGACAAATGAGTGCTCAGTAGTGGGTGGAAAGATGAAAGGACGCATGCCTGGACAGACAGACAGGAATTGATGGAGAAGTCTAGGAGGAGCAGAGAGGTGGCGATTGGGCGGGAAAAGTGAAGTTGGTCTCTAACACAGCCTCCTCCCCCTGCTGTGCCCCTTCTCCCACAGCTTTTCCTGAACCCTATGAGTATGGAGGGGGCAGTTTTTCTCATCATGTCCATCAAGAGGAACCCCAAATCCAGGATGGAAGAGCTTGACATTTCTGTAAGTGCCCAGATACCACTCATTCGCTCCTGGCACAAGTCGGTTACCTCGGCTACTAGAACTGCAGCTGTGTCCCTCACAGACCCTCTCACACAAGAAGTAAGGGGCTCGACTGATGGGAGAAGCCCTTCGGTAAATCTCACCAAAATGTAAATCATTTATTTGATCCTGAGAACCTAGAATGTGAGCACCTAAGAATACTAATGAGGAAAAACCAAAACGGGGGCTGGAGAGATGGCTTAGAGGTTAAGAGCACTGATTTCTCTTTCAGAGGACCCGGGTTCAATTCCCAGAACCCATATGACAGCTCATATCTGTCTGTGACTCCAATTCCAGGTGGTCCAACACCCTCACTCAGACATACATGAAGGCGAAATGCCAATTCGTATAAAATAAAAATAAATTATAGGGGAGCTGGAGAGATGGCTCAGTGATTAAGAACACTGACTGCTCTTTCAGAGGACCTGGGTTCGATTCCCAGCACCCACATAGCAGTTCACAACTGTCTGCAACTCCAGTTTCAGGGTATTTGAAACCCTTATACCAATGTCCACAAAATTAAATAAATTATTAAAAAAATAAATTATAAAAAAGGCAAAAGATACTCAGAACCACACTTGAAGAAAGACGAGGGTCGTCTAGAGCTGACGGAGAGCAGGCTAAATCACTCTTCCAAAGCACACACTGTCCACGTCCTGGAAGCCAACTCTGACTTCTTCTAAAAGAGGAGTTTGTAGTTCGCTGTGAGCCACAGCAGGATGGTGGGCATCAGGGATCCTGGGTACCTGCTCCGAAGAACAACATTCACAAGGATATGATATCTGTGTATAGACCAGTCTCTGATCTCTGTTCATCAAATGTACTGCCTCGGAGAAGAGCTGAGTGACAAGCATATGACGAACAAGCCACCCAAACACAAAGAAAATGCCTAACCAAAGTCTCCTAGATGTGGGCAGATTAACACATGCCTATAATCCCAGTGCTCAGAAGACTAAGGCAGAAGGATCACCATGAGTTCAAGGCCAGCCTGTGCTCCATAGTAAGTTCAAGGCCAATCCAGGTTGCAGAGTAAGACTTTATATAGCTAAATCTGGGAAAATTACAAATCAAATCACAAGCTCCATAACACCAGAGCAGCCCTGAGGACGTAGCTAAGCTTGGTAGACTACTTGCCTAGCATGCACAAAGTCTGGGATTCCTTGCCTAGCACCCCATAATGAAACACCCCATCATCATACCCCATAATCACGTGACTGTAACCCCAGCATTTGGGAGATCGAGACAGGCCAGCTTGGATGACATCCAAAGCTACATCAGATTACAGAATGAATGAGACTCTGCCTCAAAAAGTAACCCATGACCCAAGTTAGTCACAAGCCAGAAAACACCAGAACCCATACCAGTTCAGAGGAAGAACAAACCAGAAAGGACCAATACTCCTAAACTTGGCTTGGGTGGGAAGGAAGGTTACATGGTACAGCAGGCACATGGTACAATGACAGCGTCTCCATCACGGCCCCTCTCTCCCTGCTGCAGAACGTTCTGGTAACAGAGCAATTTGTAAAAGTCCTGGATGGGGTCTGTGCCGTTCACCCACAGCTGGATGTGCTATACAAGGGATTGCAGGGTCTCTCCAGCAAGAAAACCGCCTCTCTGTGGACCAACCCCATGAAACTGATCCAGGTGAGCCCCTTAGAGCCTCAGCGAACCCTGGAGGAATACTGCCACATGGGTCCCAAATCACGCACCCAGCACTGGCTCTGTCCGAGTCTTTCTAATGAGGTTCCTTGCCGTGGAAACTGGAACATTGCCCTAGGTTATTGGGTCACTGGATACTGCGCCTCACCCCAAAGAGAAGAGCTGAGATATGGTGGAGGGGGGAGGCGGAGAGGGGATGGAGGCACAAGATGGAGTCTGCTACCTGGGACCTGCCTTTTACTAATGTGTCACCAAAGGCATTGAGGTCATTAAGTGTGTCAGTCTTTCCACCTGTAAAATGGGAAGAGGTGAAAAAAGTGTTTATGAAGGCTGAATTCCTCAGTAGTTATGAGATGCTCAGAGTTACGCCTGGACATAGTAAGCACCCAGAGCTTGCAGCTTCTTTTTGAGACTGGACGCCACCCTCAGATGGCTTCTGGCCTCTGATATGCTCTGTTCTTCACTTTTCAAGACCAAATCTAAGAAGGTCTTAAATGAAAATTATGTGCAAAGTTCAAGAAGGCAAAAGGTACCGGGTTTGTTTAGAAAGAAGTGACTCCAATGGAACCAGGCGGGAGGTTTTACAAGGACAGCTGGATGTAGAGCGAGGGTCTTGCCCCTTGTTTTAAAAGAATATAGAAATGGGCCAGGCGGTGGTGGCACATGCCTTTAATCCCAGTGCTCAGAAGAAAGAAGTGGGTGGATCTATGCATTTGAGGTCAGTCTTGTCTACAGAGTGTAGTTCCGGGACAGCCAGGTCTCTACAGAGAAACCCTATCTCAGAGAGAGAGAGAGAGAGAGAGAGAGAGAGAGAGAGAGAGAGAGACATTAAGAGAGAGGGGCATGAGTCAACAGCAGCTGAAGACTCTGAGCCAGATGCCACTGAATCTCCAGTGCTGTGCAGACTTACAATCACAGCACACAGAATACCTGCCTGGGCTACATACAGAGTGGGTTCAAAGTCAGCCTGGGCAACTTAATGCGACCCTGTCTCAAAATACTAAGGAAAAAGAAGGTTAGCTAAGTGTATAGATCAGTGCTAGGGCATTTGTTTGACGTACATGAGGTTCCAAGTTCAACCACAGCACCATAAAGAAAAAAGAGAGAGAGTAGGAAAAAATCTTCCGGTACAGACCAAACAGACATCTGTGTACACTGTAGTTGGAAATAGGAGTCCGTGTGTTTAGAAAGACGGGATGGAGTCAGTAATGACCAGAAGAAAGTGTCACAGAAGAAATATTACAAAAGTGACAACGGTCACAAGCTCCATCCGAATCTGAAGTCAGGACATCCCAGGATGAGGCAAAGAGAAAAGAAGAACTTCCAGGCAGAGGTGGGGCTGGGGAAGGTCCTGAATGAATGGGAAGTATTGGAGGGCTGGAGAGATGGCTCAGCGGTTAGGAGCATTGCCTGCCCTTCCAAAGGTTCTGAGTTCAATTCCCAGCAACAACCATCTGTAATGAGGTCTGGTGCCTTCTTCTGGTCTGCAGGCATACACGCAGGCAGAATATTGTATACATAATAAATAATAATATAAATATAAACATAATAAATAAATATTTTTTAAAAACCTGGAAGACGGCTCTAGCAAGAGGGTTTCTGCCAGCGGAGCAGCGAGGGTTTGCACACTGACAGTGCAGGCAGCCTTCAGTGGCACTGGAGACAGAACCGCGTCTGTCCAGCTGAGGAAACCTGGGACGCCAGACTCCGAACGAAGCCGGAAAGCCAAAACTGGGCTACAAGTGGTTGGAATCCTCAGACTTCAGACCTTGAGTTGTGGCTGGATCCCATCCCACATAGGGAGCCATGAGAACTGTGGAGCCCTGAAAGTGGCATGAACCCGCCAGAACTAACGGGTGATCTTTCTGACTCCGCGGAGCGGCATGAGAGGTTACCAACAGAAATGCTACTTTTAAGGTGCCTGGCAAGGCACTTCCCCAGGTGTACACTGTAGGGAAACTGCGAGAACCCTAGGTGTACCCAGAGCCTGTCCAACTAATCACGCAGCAGTTGCGCCATCTCTCAGCCGAGGGAAACCCCACCCACCAGCCACAAACCACCGACTGTGTTAATAGAGACTATTTCAAAGCCAAATTCCAGACTTAGACCCGGTCACCGTCTGTGCCTCTGTGATACTGGGGGCTGCTTAGCAGCTTTGGTGTTCCTCTGTTAAGTCAGGGAGTGGATGGGGTGAGTGGGGCCTCTTTTAGGTTGGGGTGCGGCTACCAGGGACTAGACAAACACGGGCGCTATCACGTCTCTCTCTGCACTTGGTGCTAGATCTAAAGCAGTGTTTAAAATACAGATGCCTCAAGTTGGAGCTGCCTTTCCCCACTCCTCAAGCATTTCTGGGTCCAAGCGTGTGGCCCACCCTTTGGGGGCGGAGGGGAGAGGTGTGGTAGCCGTAATAAAGGCAAGTGTTTGCTCCTGGCACCTCTTGCTCCTCTCAGAACTACACAGACCAACAGAAGATCCCAGCTGTGGAGTTCTTCAAGAGCTTGAATCCATCGGGATCAATGATAATGCCTGTGGGGGACTTTCGGAAAGCCATGATACAGGTGTGCTGATTCCCGGAGACACTGGGTAGGGGGGGGGGGGGGGTAGCAGAGCGGACTGGCAAGCATATGCTTGCATTTCACACTGCCCTGTAAGGTTGGCTGAGGGCACTGCTGTCATTCATCTAGACTTAGAGGAAAATGCAACACCTCCTTCAACCCTCCACCCAAATCTGTCACGTGGCCTGATGTCACTCCTCACCCCAGACACATACGTTCATCTCAGGGGCCTCCCCCCAGAACCCCCATCGCATTGTGTTTGGCTCCTAGGAAGATGAAAAGTGAGAGTGGGGGAAATGACTGTTTCCCTGTAGCTCCCACATTCTGCCTTCCACCTTCCCAGCTTACCTGAGCCACCTCGCAGTCCCTCTTAGCAATATAGTGATTGGAATGGAGGTCCCCTGAAATGTATGCACGAAGGGATCAATTGTGACAGCATCCTGGGGAGGCCTTGGGAGAAGGGTCTAGGGGCCCAGGCAGGGATGAATACTTCGTACCCAGACCCACAGAGCAAGAAGGTTGGCCAGGATTAGGTATCTGGGAGCAAGAATGACCTTCACATGCTGAAGAGTACAGCTTCTGTCCCCCTCAGCAAGCCACTCATTGCTCCTGGAATCTTGTCACTTTCCAAAAGCGAGGGGGGGGGTCACTCTGGAGGCAAGGCCATGCCATGGAAAGAAACTGCCTCCAGTACCTCCCTGTGGTAGGTGCAGCCACCTCTGAGTCCTCAAATGCCACCACTGGTCCCAAGAGTGAGACATTAAGGGGGGAAGGTGTCACTGGGTGTGAAGGAGCAGAGGGATCTATAACACATTACCCCCACCTTCCCAGCAAAACAAGGTCCCCATCAACCGGTACCAGGTCAGGGAGCTCCTAAAGAAGCTGGGTGAGAAGAAGGGTATGGTGGACTTCAGGTGAGTATGGCCTCCCCCTCCTCCCCCGCTTGCCGAAGGGCCCTAGTGGGAGGAGCATCAGCCTGGGGATCCAGCCATCTGTGTTCTGTGAGATAGCGGACACTGTTTACAGTGGACCAAAGGCCCTGCCCCAGATCCCACGACTGGGCCCCAAAGTTCTCCTTCCTTCCCATCCTCAGCTCCCTTATATAGCAAGACTCGAGCAAGACACTGGGACCGGTGCCTGAGGAACGCCAGCCCACGTGACAGAGGGACAATGTTCAGGCCTCCAAGGTGAGGACAGGAGAGACTGGGGGAGGGGAGTATGACGAAGACCAAGGGAAGCATCATTGGGGCAGTGCTTCAGCTAGGTCCAGCAGGATGGGTAGACGCATGCCACGTTTCTATTATAGAGGTCCAGGTCAACTTATGGGAGTAAGTTCGCCACTTCCGTGACAGGGGTTCTGGGGAGCAAATTCGGGTTGCTGGGCTTCTGGCAAGGGCCATAAACTGTTGGGCCATCTCTCTGGCCATTTGTTGTGAGCATGCGTGCATGTGTGTGCGTGCATATGGGGGCCAGAGGCTTGGCATCTTCGTTGACTGTGCTCCTCCTTAATTTTTGAAACAGTGTCTCTCACTGAACAAGAGGCTCTCCAATTGGCTGGATGAACCGGCCAGTGAGCTTCCAACCCAGCTCTAACAGTAGGATGCCATCACACAGGCTTTCCATTGGGCACTGGGGATCTGAACTCAGGTCCTCATGGTCGCGTGCGGGAACCCTATCATCTACCCAGCCTATCGCTCCCCCTGTTCCCTTTCCTTCAAATAAGCTTCTTAAAAGCTGGAAGTCACAACAGTCGATCAGATCTGGAGAGACGCCCCACCAAGAGAAGTCCTGGCAAATTGTGGTGTCTGTGAGGAGATTCAACCAAAGGGTGGGTAGATGGATGGATGTCATGACTAGAGCTAAATGCTATAAATAGAATCTCTCTGTGTGCTGCTGATGCTGGTCCTGGGCATCTCTCTCTGTGCTGCTGATG